AATGGGTACGTTTTCCCAGTGTTATCCAATCTCACTGAGTGGGTAGTGCTATGACAACAGTGACTGGTCTTCTTGTTGCGAGCCCCGGCCTACACCACAAAGGGGCGCAGGCGGCTCGCACAGGACACTGGAAGGGGCAGCATCCATGGCGCTTTGGTAGGGATCCCAATTCGTCGGTCACCGACATGACTCAAAAGGGAACGTCTCGGTTACGTATGTAACCCTCGTTCCTGAAGGAGGAAATGGAGACGTCACGTCCCGTTGCCACGACTGCTGTACCACCGCTGAGTGGCCGGGTCACCGGCTCGGCTCCTCAGCGAAAACCTGGTATGCGTTGCACCGGCTGCCTTTTTATGCTCACGCTGTTGAGCGGCCGGGTCACCGGCTCGGCTCCTCAGCGAAAACCTGGTATTCGTTGCACCGGCTGCCTTTTCATGCTCACGCTGTGATCAGCGGCAGCTGGATGCAATCATCGCATGCCAATGTGCATTGGCTCATTTAGTTTACACTCGAAGTGGATTGGTCTCTCTAAGCGAGATCCCAATTCGTCGGTCACCGAGGTGACATCTACATTCCCTTTTTCAGGGAATGAGGGTTACATACGTAACCGAGACGATTTGCATGGCAGACATGGAGATCCAGATTTTTTGTTTGTTCAATTGTTTTTAATATTCAACAGGCAAAGTTCTTCTGTATCTAAATGCAAAAATTTTCATAATTGTTTGAATAAAACAATAAAAAATCTGAATATTCATCTTGTGACCATCTTGTGATTATTTTAACAAAAGCAACAATGATATAATAATTGTAATAATAATAACAATTACTATGACCTTTGCCTCAGTAAACTCCTAACTTGCTGCTTATTAATAGATAGTTAGTAAGGTAGTTAAGTTTACGTATTGGGTAGGATTAGGAATGTAGAATATGGTCATTCAGAATATGTGCTTTATACGTAAGTACTATTAAACAGCCAGTAGGTTAATAATAGGCATGCTAATATGCAATTATAGTTAGAATTGGTCCCTATACTAAAGTGTTACATAATAGTTTAGGCCTAACATTACTTAATTTGATTATGCCGAGTTTAAAAAATATTAATGAAAACTTTGTATCACATTTTTTTTCACAAAATAATGTTTTATAAATTATAATATATGTATATTATATGTGTACAATTATATGTATCTGCAATTATCAAAGTAACAAAGCAGTCAAATATCAAAAGTTTCAGATGTAATGACAAAAATAAGTATGTATAATCTAATTTACGATCAGCAAAGGAATGGAAAATATGTTCAAATTAATGTAATGGAATTTTACATAAAAACAATTTAATTTAATTTAATTTAATAATTTAATTTAATTTAATTTAATTTAATTTAATTTAATTTGTGTACAATTATATGTATCTGCAATTATCAAAGTAACAAAGCAGTCAAATATCAAAAGTTTCAGATGTAATGACAAAAATAAGTATGTATAATCTAATTTACGATCAGCAAAGGAATGGAAAATATGTTCAAATTAATGTAATGGAATTTTACATAAAAACAATTTAATTTAATTTAATTTAATAATTTAATTTAATATAATTTAATTTAATTTAATTTAATTTAATTTAATTTAATAGATTTTTATTTTATTTATTTTTCACTAAATCTGTAATTTCTTATACTGCTTGATTGTAGTAAAACACCAACAGATGTAGCAGATGTAGGTATTGGCCATAATTCTAACCTTGAACCCTGGATTAAACATAAAATTGTGTCTTCAGAATCATTCATACATGTGAAAATCGGCTGAGAATTTAACAAGTAGTTGTAATCTGGCTCAAAGGAAGATAGGAGTCATCTCTTTGGAGCAGGTTTCTGGTGATTGAAGGATGATACAAGTGTGAAACAGGCACTATTTTTAGAATCAGATCCGCAAAATTAGTAAGAATTTAGTATTGGATTTCATTCAGCAAATATGACGCCGGGTTGCGAGTCTAAAACCTGAAGGTTTTTAAGATGTATGTGACAGCCACATACAGTACATACATTTTTTATTATAATTATTTGCTTATCTCTTATCGGGTATACTTAAATACCAAAATGACAGCTTTTCTTATCCATGTTTTGAACTTGAATGAAACCAAATAATTCCATTATTTCCATGTGATGCTTCTAGGGTGGTAGCTGTTCGATGTTTGATACAAATTGCATAAGATTTTTGGTCTCTATCGGCACTATTTCCCTCCCAGCAAAAGAGACATAAATTAGGGCATTTGCCAAGGTTAACCTGTATAACACGCCATCAGTTGATGTTCCTGTAAATTTACTTTGGTCTTGCCGCAAGGGAAATGGTTTACGATTTCAGCCACCTGGCACAGTAAAATCAAGCACCCTGTAGGATGTGTTGAGGGACAGGCCTTATCGTTACAGCGAGGTTTTCAGGGGAAATGAAGCAGAGACAGATGATCAGGAGATCGATAGGAACGGCGGCTGGTTGAAAGATGCAGCATCATTATTAGGGGGAAAAAAAATCCAATGGCCGCCTTGCATCAAAGTCACATCCGTTATTAGACCGTGAAGCAGTAATTGAAGAGCATGATGACTGAAGAAATGAAAGCAATTTTACTGACAGGATGCAATCTCGCCACCTTCTCCTGGTACAATCTTTAATGGGATGTGACTACTCAGGGAAGTGCAAGCTGCTGTTTAGTGGGCTGTGTGTCACCTTAAGACCTGTGCTGGTCTGTGATCAAACAGTTTATGTGGACATTACACCCAGAAGCAATCATTGATGTCTCTCACCCCGGACATGTAAAGATTAATATTGACTGCAGTGATGACCTATGCAAGCAATCTTTGAATGTCAAATACTCTTCTGACTGCTCAGGGTAGGATGTCATTTATACACACCTGGCCTCACTACAGAAAGCAAATATCTTCTTGGAGGCTCACTGTGGTCTAAATGACACTAGTATTTGTTTCTGGTTTATGGAGGAGGAATGTCCTGTGGAAAAATATTTGTGCTTGTACTCATCATTAAATGTGTACATATGAAAGGGTTTAAGCATGCAGTATACAATTGGTCTGTTTTAAAACCTAGTGTGCTGCCTACAGAGACAGCATTTTAGGGTACAAGTTATAGGTGTACAAATGCATTGCTGCATAATATATAAACACTTTGGTTCACAAGTTTTGGGGTCGGTAAGGTTTTTTTGTTTTGTTTATTTATTTATTTATTTATTTTTTTTATAAATGTTTGTTTGTTTGTTTAAATGTTCACCAAGGTTCCATTTATTTGGTCAAAAATAAGTTAAAAACAGTAAGATTGTGAAATATTATTATAATTTAAAATAACTGTTTTCTATGTTAATATATTATATTTCCTGAGATGACAAAGCAGAATTTTTAACTGCCATTACTTCAGTCTTCATTGTCACATGATGCATTAGAAATCATTCTGATATTCTAATTTAGTGTTTAAGAAACATTACTTATTATTATCAGTGTTGAAAACAGTTGTGCTATTTATTTTTTCACTTGATTATTAAGTTTGTATTATTTATTTAATTAATTATTATTTTTTTTATTCCTGTGGAAGGATTTTCTGATAAATAGAAAGTTCAACATATAAAAAATCAACAGTAAAAAAAAAAAAAAAGTTTTTAAAATTTTTGTCTTTTTATTTTTAAGTTGCTAACCCAAAGTGACTTTTTTATTTCCTTTTTGAACTATAGTTACTACAATTATTATTACTATTGTAAAACCTAATAACTTGTTGGAATGTCCATCAACCATAAAAAAAGCTTTTAAAGTCTTTGTAATGTTATTTTTAAGTTGCTAATCCAAAGTGAGTACAGTTTTATTGTAGCAATCGCATAGCAGTATGTGGTATTTGGGTTGAAACTGTGATTTTGTTGATTAATTTATTTCATCCAATGCATTCAATGCCATTCGGTTCATTGAATCCCTCTATATTTTAACAAATACAAATATGTGTTTAATTTTACGGTTGCATGGCTACGACTGTCTCCGGCTCTCCTGTATTCCTGCAGCAGACAGATATGGTCTAGGCTCAGAGCCAAGGACAATCTCTGAGGCCCTTTGTGGCACACTCAGCCTTACAGAGCGGAAACAACACGAGGGGCTTGCTAGCCACAGCGCCGCTGTGAGAATAGATGCACTCTGATGGCTTTGTGAATGAAGAGTCCTTGTCTTCAGCCAGGGCACGTAGCCAGGCCGCCCTGAGCTTTGCCTCATTGACTCACACTGGGAAGGGAACATGCATAATGCTCAAGTCCTATCTCTTTACTTTACTCGCTCACTTTCTCCCACCACCTCCCTCGCCCACCCATACACTGTGGCGTAGCATAGTTTTGGCATCTAAAAAGCACAGCACACCACCGGATTATATGCATGTGGTATAAAAGGGACAAACAAACGATAATGGAATGTGCCTCCATTGGCAGCCAGACCTGCTTGTTCTGTGACTTTGGGAAATGAATAATTCATCTGTTTTTCCAGGTGGCAAGCTGTGGTGGGCTGATGACGATCTGGCTCAGCTGGGAACGGTCGCCAAACGGGATGGACGTAACCCGGCAGTGCTGCGCAATAAGACCAGCGGAGTGGTACACATGAAGGTGTATGACAGAGATGGTCAGAAAGGTGCGTTGAGATACAGTCAAGGTTGGTGCAAAAATAGCTTGACCAGTCATTGTCTTTGAAACGGATAACTGAAGTTTAACGTCTTTTTAGAGCTGTGGGATTTCTTTCCAGTGTTGACATGTTTCCCAAAAGAACAGGAAGTTTGGGCAGGACATATCAAAGAGTTTGAGTTTTTAAGTAGCCAGTGTGCTTTAGTTAAATCACAGTTATTTGCATGGTAGTTAACTAAAACTAAAACCTTTAAAAAATGTTTCTTGAAATAATAAAATAAAATTCAACTGAAATAGAACTAAATATTAAACAAATAAATAAATAAACTTCTAGTTGCACCATTTCTCATTTTCTCATTAAACTTGATGTGCTAAATTAGCTATATTTAAAATAAAAAATGAATAAGAAAAAATAAATTTAAAATTAATAGCTATGTAGACATTTTAAAAAGACACAACAATAATACTCAAACTGTATAACTTAAATTTCAATAAAATGAAATAAAAAAATGAAAAAATAAACACTAATTTAAATAATTCAAAACATATATAATCTCAATTATGCTAAAATAACACTGCCAAGTACCATGATTTAGCTACTTGATATTACTGTAAATTAGGGGTGGAACGTTTCGTGGAAAAAAATCGAACCGTACGGTTCTCCACACACGGTTCGGCACATGCTAGGACTGCGGTTCAACTTAAATCTGACAACGCATCTGTAATATGGTTTGCTATAAATAACACGTAAAACAAACAGGGTTCGGCTAATATATGTTTCTGTTGATGGATTCGCATTCTGGCTTACCAATACATTACAACAACAGCAATGAAAAAAAAAACGTGGACAAACCATTCACTCTTGTTCAATGCGAATGCTGTATGCTGGAATATGAGCATTTATTCCGTCATCACCCAGGTGCTGGTAGCGCACACGCACAGGTGAGGCCTGAACAGCACACGTTATCTGTGTTTATTGTTTAAGCTAAACTCATTTAAGCTTTGCCAGTTTAAACATTCAAGAGTCAGAGGACGCGTGCTCGTGCGCGCAGTGAGAAGGTTTGTGTGTGCGCTCATCCGAAGCGCGCAAACCCGCACCTCAGAACACGCGCAAATATTAAGCTCTCTCTGAAGTATTGTGTTTAAATGGACAAATTCGCACAAAAATGATGTCAAAATGCCCGTCTTGGTAAGTATCCTATAGCAGACATAGCCGGCTGAACGTACTGGATCAGTGCATTCTCTTAAAGTGACAGCACTCTCTTAATATTAATCAAACAGCAACAACAAGGAAATCACTCACTGCTCGATTGAATAGCTTTTGTAACTTTAATAAAGATTAATCTTTAATTTATACAGT